CTTCTCGGCTGCCCATACCATGGAAGGGTATTTCTTCAGGGATCTGAAAAGGAAGTTGGATTAGTGTTGGTCTGAACGACCTGGGAGCGTGACCGTAATTCCCAAGGGACAACTGCTTGAGGCTGGTCACGCATAGCCTTTTTGTGGGGGATTTTTGACGTGTTAGCTCCGTTCTTCAAAGGACCTTACCGCCGGAGACGGAAGTCCGTGGGATAAGGCGAGGTGTACATTTTTAGAGTCGACCTTTTCTAACCTCACCCCTCTTTGTGTGAAGGCAGCACCGCTGTTATGCTGGTTGTCTGAAAGAAACACCTTACTGCTGTCACACCTCTGTACAGTCAGCAGTACGACTTCGTCTTCGGACCTTGGGATTACTGCTTTTAATCTTACCGCTCTTCAACCGACCTGCGTAGCATGGTAGGACCTTGAGGAACGAACGTTTTAGCTAGTATGGATCGATTGGTTCATCACGATAAGCAAGCCCGACCACCACGTTAAGGTAGCAGCAACTGTCGGGACAGCAAAGGTCATACCACATCTTTGTGCCAGTGTGGTATGGCAACTCGAACTGATGTACGTACGTACGAAGTTCTACGTTGTGACTGAATGACCCCTCGTCGAGGAGCATAGGTCGCTCACCAGCATTCTCCATCCAACCTTGTCCTGGGAAATCCTTCCCAGTTCTTTCCAGTTGTTATTCATCCTTTTCATATCTGCTTCTATTTCCCGACGTAATGTGTTCTTTGACCTTCCTCTTTTCCGCTTTCCTTCCGGATTTCAAGTTAGGGATTACCTTGTAATGCACATTGGTTGTTTCCTTAATGTATGTCCTATCCACTTTCATTGTCTATAAATAATTTCCTCTTTAGCTGGAAGCTGGTTTATCCTTTCCCATAAAACTCTGTTGCTGATAGTATCGGGCCAATGTATGTTGAGTATTTTGCGTAGACAACTGTTTATTAATACTTGTACCTTCTTGACGATGGATGTAGTAGTTCTCCACCTTTCAGCTCCATACAGTAGGACTGTCTTGACGTTGAACTGAGTATTTTTCACTAAAAACACCTTACACGTTTTGCATCACGTGACTACTGATAACTATTAATATTTTCAACAGGTATGATATTTACTATCATTTTCTAACCTATTTCAAATAGCATGATTCATATGTTCTGGATTCCTTTGGTAACAATAGTTTGTTTATTCTTAAAACCTTTTAGCAAAACAGAAATATTGAGGCTATCGGTACAAGAGAATAAACCTACCCTTAATTAAGGTTGATAAAAATTAAGTTTCAATTATCACCAACGAGAAAGTTCAATCATCAATGTCCATAACCGAGTCCATTAATAATTGAATTAAGAACTGTGAGGCTTCGTAGAGTATGCGTTTTTTTAAGGCCAATGTTTTGTCATCCATTGGTTAATTGTCTTACAGTTTAGCTTGTATCCTTAAACTCTGTTATTCAACACTATCTATGAACCTGTTGTTCAAATGTTAATCATATGATTACTCTTGAGAATTCAAAAACCTGTACCGAGAAGCATTCATCGATTTTAGGCGTCAGTTAGGTGTCAAAAATAACAACTAGTGATGCTAATGATATTCAATGAAGAAACAAAAGTTGTGATTTCGAATCTATAGAAGTCCTTAAGGTGATGTAACCTGTAAGTGTTCACGATTATTCCAAGTTGCTTTGAGTTCAGTCCATAGATGTGTACAGCTCAAGAGTTCCTACTAACTAGTAAAGCCTATTTTTCAATTGATCCTTAGTTAAAGACAATAAATGATGTAACCAATATTAAACCTGAAAAATTTATGCAAACCCTTTATCCTAATGTTGTATGTTCTACTGATATTGACATATATAAGTAGTAGTTAGTGTGATCAATCGAAAGTAGAAGGTTGAGAAAATTCGAAGAGAAGAGAACGAGAACAGATAGCGAGTTGTGTGGAAATGACGGAACAACAAAGTCTGAGACAATTGACCGATATTTTCAAAATGAAGTATTTACTATATGGATCTCAGATTTAACCAAGATAGTCTGTAATGTTGTATCAGGATGCATTTGATTATCCCCACCTGTATTTTCGTTGACTACATTAATAATAAATTTATTTAGAATACTTATCACTAAGCATTATTAGTTAATTTCGTCAAATATCATGTGAATTTATGTGTACGAAAACTAAATCACAACAATAAAATTTAAGCAAAGGTGACTAGCAGTGGAATCCAGGAAAAAGCGCGTTCCGTCCTATTTCGGACTCGTCACTAGCTGAATGTACCTACATCTCAAAGTTGATGTCCACTCTGGGAGGAACTCGAGTCCAGTACCTTTCGCTTCAAACGCCAACGCGTTATCCACTCGGTCACTGAGTATGAACATATGTCAACTAGAGACTGACCAGTTGCAGTCCTAAACATCAATGGGAAGATTCAAACAAACAGTACTAAATGAATAAAATTTAAATTTTGACAAGCCCGTAGCTCTTCTTGTGTTACTGTTGCTCCCAAGCTCAAGTAAAGGAGGAGGGTCGGGTATAGGGTAAACAACACTATCCTCTAGAAAATAACCTTACTAAAAAGACGCCAACCAGTAAATATGTATAATCGTCCGTTAATTAATTGAAAAGAAATTACACTCTATTTGCTGTGGTAGCAACTTGAATAGATTCCCATGGACAAAGTTAGATGTTGAATTCTAGTAGGCGGCCTAATTTCCTTCATGAGGGGTAACAGACGTTATTAAGTAATGAAACATCCAATTAAGTATTTAAAATTATTATTATTAGCACAATATAGAAGTATCAGGACACAGTGTTTCCACACGTTTCCGTTTCTTATTACTTGATTGATCCTGACAATAAATATTGACAGATCGCCAATTCAATGTTAGTAGTTCAGGAATCGATATGTGATTAATGTATCTTCTTTTCGATGCATACTGCTTACTTAGTTACTTACTTACTTACGCCTGTTACTCCCAATGGAGCAAAGGCCGCCGACCAGCATTCTCCAACCCATTATGTCCTGAGCCTTCCTTTCTAGTTCTATCCAACTTTTGTTCATTCTTCTATTGTCTGCCTCCATTTCTCGGCGTAATGTGTTCTTTGGTCTTCCTCTTTTCCTTTGAAATTCAGGATTCCATGTGGGGGCTTGTCTTGTGACATAGTTCGGTGATTTCCTCATTGTGTGTTCCACTTCCAGCGCTTCCTCTTGATTTCTTCCTTCACTGAAGTCTGGTTTGTTGTCTCCCACAGTAGGTTGTTGGTGATAGTGTCTGTCCAACGGATTCGAAGTATTTTGCGTAGACAACTGTTAATAAACACTTATATCTTCTGAATGATAGCTTTCGTTGTTCTCCAAGTTTCCAGCGCATAGAGTAGAACTGTTTTGACATTTGTATTGAAAATTCAGACTTTGGTGTTGGTTGACAATTGTTTTGAGTTCTAGATGTTCTTTAGTTATAAATATGCTGCTCTTGATTTGCCGATCCTGGCTCTCACATCTGCGTCAGATCCATCGTGTTCATCAATGATGCTGCCCAGATATGTAAAAATTTCTACATTCTCCAAAGCTTCTCTGTCAAGTGTAATTCGATTGGTGCACGTTGTACTGTATCGGAGAGTCTAGCTTTTCCCTTTGTTTATATTGAAACCTACTTCATATTGCTAGCAACCACGATATATTTGATTTGGATCTTTTGTAACTTGTACAGTGAAACTTTTCACATACGCACCTGGATAGGTTGTGCAATTAACTGACATAATGATCTGTTAAAACAAACAAGGAAACAAATAACTTCTTAAATATTCAAATTGTGGGAACAGATAGCCTATATGATCAAACAGGCCGCCAAATAATAATAATGGTAAGCAAACATGGATAGTGGCTAGTAGTGGACGCGCGTTTCGTTCTATTTGGGACTCGTCATTAGCTGGATGTACCTGCATCTCAGTTGTTGATGTTCACGTTGGGACTCGAACTTAGTACCTTCCGCTTCATCAATGGGAAGATTCAAACAAACTATACTAAGTGAATTTAAACCTCACCCCATTTCACAAGCAAGTGGCTATCAGGACTCAGTAGCTTAGTGGATAACTCGATAGCGTTTGAAGCGAAAGGTACTGTGTCCAAGTCGCTGAGTGAACATCAACTCTGAGATGTAGGTACGTCCAGGTGCCGAGTCCCAAATAGGACGAAACGCGTGTCCTGGATTCCACTGTTAGCCATTATCCATCTTTGCTTACCATGTTTGTCAATTAAGGCTATATGGAGGCAATACACACAGTGTGCACATATGCCAATAAGAGAGAGTGATCAATCACAGTCCTAAATATCAATGGGAAGATTCAACACAAACAATACAATATTCATATGACAGGAACAGGTACCTGAGATGATCAAACAGGCCGCCAAATGATAATAATAATAATAATTGTAAGCGAAGATGGATAGTGGCTAGTAGTGGAATCCAGGACAAAGCGCTTTTCGTCCTATTTGGGACGAATCAGCTGGATTTACCTGCTTCTCATAGTTAACGTTCACTCTAGGACTCGAACCCAGTACCTTTCGCTTCATCAATGGGAATGATTCAAACAAACAATACAATATTCATATGACAGGAACAGGTAACCCAGATGATCAAACAACCCGCCAGATATCAATCATAACCATAATAATAATAGTCATATGTATCCAAGCTTCTTTCCAATATACTCAAGTATCCATTACCATATATATATATATTTTTAAAACATTATCCAATCAAATCATCATTCTATTTAGTTAACAACTAAAAAAAAATTAAAAAAATATAAAAGTCAATTTTTCAACCAATCAGAAATTGATAAATTGAGAAAAGTAACTTTTAAAAAACATACCTGGTAACAAAAATTAAATTGGGGTGTATTTATATCTTTATTTAAGTATGTATCTATGTAACATGTATGTATGTATCTATGCATGTATGTATGTATGGATGTATGTATGTATGTGTATGTATGTGTGTAATTATGTATGTCTGTTTGTATGTATAAGTGTGATGACTATTTAACTTTGTCCTGTTTTCGAATAGTCGAACTCACTGTTATCCCCAAATTTCATTCTGATCCTGATTACTATGATGTATGTATATAGATTAGTCAATTGATTACGTAACCTCATTTAATAATAAAGAGTCTTGAATCAATCTATAACATTATAATTGGCAGTATCATCTGTATCCTCATCACCATCGTCACCATCCTCATGGTTGATAGTCGTATTCATCATGATGAATATGGTTTTGATGTTATCACACGTTTATTCAATCAGCTTATTTAAGTAGTATAAAAGAGAAAAGAGAAAAAAATTATAATCATATATACATTTGTACAACACATACACACACACACAATTAAGCATATCTACTAAAAGATTTCAATGTTGACTATTATCATTCAATGGTTTCAACAATATAAGATCTTTATCTGGAACGTATAATCATTGAATTATTCAACAAGTAAGTAGTATATATATATATATATATGATGTATGAAATGAAGTATTAATCATAATGATAATCGGATCCATAGTTGAAAGCATGAGTCAATTAAAGGTAGACCATCATGGTAAACCTGGAAAGATTGGACGATCGTTTCTTCCTATTATGGGTGGTCTAGCTTCAATTGACTCACTCTTTCAACTATGAAAAATACTAAATGTCCACAAAACCTCTTCTGATAGTCGGATCACTTTTAAAATAGATTCATGGTTTAATTGAAGTTAGACATGAACACTGTTGGATAATGGGCGGTTCAGTGGTCTACAGGTTAGGCTTCCGCACGCAAGACCAGTAGATAATGGGTCCGAATCCCATGTGTAGGATTGTGGATGTGTACTGTTGAGAAGTCCTAAACTAGGCCGAAACGGTCAGTTTTCTATGATTGGTCTAGCTTTAATTAATTCATGAATTGAACTCTTAAATAGATTAATTTATGCTATTTTATTCTTGTTACTTATTATATATGAGTAGTATTAAAATTGTAGTTCGAAGTACTGTTAGACAATTTATGTAATCGTAGGTAAAGATGGATAGTGGCTAGTAGTAGAATCCAGCTTGACGCTCATTTCGTCCTATTTGGGACTCGTCACTAGCTGGATGTACTTGTATCTCAGATTTGTTGATGTTCACTCTGGAACTCGAACCCAGTATCTTTCGTTTCAAACGCAATTGCATTATCCACTCGGCCGTTGAATTTACGTAATCTAATATAGACCTATTAATATATGTAAATATAGGGTATATTATCCGTTATGAATAGCCAAACACTCAAATATACGTTAAGATACTCTAAAACTAAAGAACTTACATGGATCATGTATAGTAAATATTTTGAGATAGGATGGTGGTCAACATGATCACGGACTCGGGCCACATCCTAATTGGCACTCATCATCACGTTGTACCTGTAATCTTGAGGGAACTGACGGATTTGATTCCGTGTCACCCAACTTTACAGTCAGATACGTAACCGCTGAGCTATTCGGGTAGCAACCGACATCCTGTTAGACTGAGATATAATCATAATTGATCACCATCCAGTGATCAATCAATTGTGATAGTAAACATTTTATTTTATGCTTAGTAGTGATTATACACCATGTAGAATTGGCATTGTCAGTTGAGGCATCTGTACACTTGTCACTTATAGTCACTATCAATCAATTAGACACGAATCTTTCTGATCTATTGTCTCATAATTGATTGGTATAACCTTTACTGGAAAGAACCCAAGACAGTAGTTTCAAACTCGATATTTTAAAGAACCGACAGTTTACTACTAGTTTATTACAGATTAATCATTCGTTGACTTGATTTTCCGAAATCCACCAAATGCTGTATTAAATCAACAAGTTCTGAATAAAATGATTCATTTACTAAATACTTTGACAGTTTAGTAGAATACAAGGACTCCTCAGCAGTGCGCATCCACGACCTCGCTTCGCGAGATTCGAATCCAGGACCTACCAGTCTCGCGATAGAACGAAACGACCATCCAGTGTGTCCAGGTTTTCTAAGGTGGTCTAGCTTCAATTAACTCATGATTTCAGTCATTTAAACAAATTCTAATTAATTAATGGACGAACCAATCAGATTTAAGATCACAGGTCTCAGATTTTGGCGCGACAATCAATCATCCATTTAACCGAGTAGTGTTTCTACATTTTAGCTGGTGTCCAATTCTTAACTTCAACCACGATTGATAAATTAGGATCTTTGTTCTTCATACGAGTTCATAACCCTCATTTAGTTCTAGTACATTGGTGGACATCGTCAACGTCATTTCGTCGTCTCTGAAATGGCGTCCATAAATAATAGTCTCACCAATATTAGAATATTACTTACTGACTACTCATATATCAAAGTAGTAAGTAGTATTGTCATGTAACTTGAAAATTTCTAACAGAAATCTCAATAGTTTAACTTTACTATTCGAAACCAGAATCTTTCTAATTTTGTTCAAATTCTCCTTCCTCTCAATGAAAATATATCAATTCTTCTTGGAGTACACTCATTTTTCTGAATCTTACAGATTTAGTTGTATATAATTCGCCAAGGATTCATGGGGGAGGGCGTTCATCGACACATTCATTCATTTATTCTGCAATCGCTTTTCAGCTCTGTACTCAATTTAGGAATCCACTACCTGAGCTTTGTCTTCATTCAAACTTTTCAGTTGGATGTACCTACATCTTGATGCTGATATTCGTATTGAAGCTTGAACTGAATATCTTTCACGGTACATCTTAGTCTTTACATCATCACGTACTTCACAATGACGATGATGATGACGGACTATTACTTTTATTATTAGCTTAGTTCATTATAAATTTTTCTGTACACTATAGAACACTCAACCCGAAGTACTTCATCACGTTTCCGTTTCTTACGCCTTCATCGATCCTGATGACATCTGAATAATGTACATTCTTTTCGTTACATATTATCAGCAACCATGGTATCTCTGATTGGGCTTTTTGTAACCTTTACAACGAAAGATTGAACACTTTTCAGAAATGCACCTTGATGTGTCGGCGAGAATGATAATGATTGGTTGTTTTGCTAAGTCAGACATGTGTAGATAGTGTGACAGGTGTTATATGTATTATGTATATTCTCCTATCCTGATTATTATTGATGGATTGACTGTTCCTTGTTGTTGGATTGTGTCAAATTTTGTGTGTTTGGTAATATATTGACGTTCTAGTCAGGTTAATCTCGTGTTCTTCATCTGAGTTGTGTGTTGAAGTCCTGTAGAATAGATAATGGGTGGGAATCTAGTGTAGATATTCGTCTAAGGTAAATTAACGTCCCATATACGTGTAAAAAGTAAAAGGACTGTTATAACAAGAAACCCTAGCGTTATAACAAGTATCCTACCAGTTTATAACACACCTGATCATTACATTTGAATTAGAGAAGATGAATTCATGTGCCAAAGTACTTCAATTCATCACAAGGATTGAAAAGTATAATAGACGGTGGAGAAGCTTAAAGATTTAACTAACTTACTTACTTACATACGCATGTTACACTATTATTATACGACTTACCGTTCTTAAGTTACTTCCTTACGCTTGTTACTTCCAGTTGGCCACCAGCATTCTCTAACCCATTCTGTCCTGGGCCTTCCTTTCTAGTTCTATCCAACTTTTGCTCATTCTTCTCATGTCTGTCTCCATTTCTCGGTGTAATGTGTTCTTTGGTCTTCCTCTTCTCCTTTCACCTTCAGGATTCCATGTGAGGGCTTGAGTTGTGACGCAGTTGTGTGAATTCATCAATGTGTGTCCTATCCACTTCAAGCGCTCTCTCCTGATTTCTTCATCCGCTGGAATCTGGTATACTGTCTCCCAATGTAACTTGTTGCTAATAGTGTCTGGTCATCGGATCCGACATATCTTGCATAGGCAACTGTTAATAAACACATGTATATTTCGGATGATGGCTTTCGTAGTTTTCCACAACTTCGGCCCATACAGTAGAACTGTCGTGACATTTGTATTGAAAATTCTAACTTAACTAACTACATTAATGATATAGAAAAATTCTCAGTTTAGTTTTTACAAACATTCTTTTCCCATAGGAATTCTAATGTATTTAGTCTAACAAATTTGGATCATTAGTGAAATCAATGAAAATGCTTTTCTTTTTACTTCTAACGGATTTCTTATTCCTCAATCATTCCATATTATAATTTTCATAGTTGAAAGCGTGAGTAAATTGAAGCTAAATCATCAGGGAAAACCTGGAAGCACTGGATGGTCGTTTCACCCTATTGTGAGACTCCTCAGCATTACGTATCCACGATCCCGCACTCGCGAGATTCAAACCCAGGACCTACTAGTCTCGCCCTGGAGCAGTTAACCTATAGACCACTGAGTGTAACTCCAACCAATCCACGACTCACGCTTTCAACCATGAAAATACTAAATCTCCACAAAACCCCTTTCTGATAATAATAATAATAATAATCATATGCTCAATAGTGACTGATCAGTGGAGTACAAACCACGTCCGTTGTGAGATATCAACTCACTTAAGACCATTGGTGAACTGTTACTCGAATTCGTGGATTGTTTAGAGTTAGACATAAACACCACGAAATGCCGGTTCAGTGGTCTGGAGGTTAAGCGCTCACGTGCAAGACTGATAAGTCCTGAGTTCGAATATCACGATGCGAGGTGGTGGACGCGCACCGCTGAGGAGTACCACAATAGGACGAAACGACCGTCCAATGCTTTCAGGTTTTCCCTGATGGTCTAGCTTCAATTGACCAAATTTCCACAAAAGCCCACCTCTGATAATAATCAAAAGAAAAATACATTTGATTATATAAATCTTGAATTTGGAGGTTATTCATACATAATTCATCTGAAGGTTCTAGATGTCATTACATGTCAACACACATCTTCTTTATCTTATCTCTAAGTGGAAGGAATAAACGATAAATTATCTTAGTATAACGTGTAGAGATTAATTTTCTTATTTTGCTTTGAAAATTAAAAAAATAACTGTGATCAATGAAGTTTCCTTCTTTTGGTTTTCTTTTGTTTGTTTTTCAATGGATAGGGAAACAAAAATGAGGTCACTAAAAAAAAATATTTAACAAACAGAAAAGTTGAATGCATGAGTCAATGGAAGCTAGACCATCAAGGAAATCGTGAAAGTACTGCTTGACGGTCGTTTCGTCCTATTGTGGGACTGCTCAGTGACAGTGAGAATCCACGATCCTGCACTCGCGAGATTCGAAACGGATGTCCAGTGCTTCCAGGTTTTCCATATTGGTCTAGTATCAACTGACTCACGTATTCAACTATTTTTCTTTTCTCTATATTAGATATTCTCTGAAGAATTAGCTTACATTCAGTTACAAAACATTAGAAAATCTAATCCATCATCCTCTATTGCTAAACATATAACCGAAACAGGCCATAAGATTGATCTTAACTCGGATTTTA